TAGTTAACTCAGAATCGGCATTTAATTACAGATTTCCTGTACAAAAATCTGTAGTTAACTGCCGATTCTGAGTTAACTACGCACTGTGAATTTGGCCCTAAGTCCTCTCCGCCTCTCTATTCACGCCAAGTACTGCCTGAAAAATACTGCCTTACAGGACAATTCTGGGTAAGATAGTAAAAAGTCTTTTGTAGACAAATGCAAGACAGATGGTAGGATAGTTCGAAAGACTTTTACAATTCTGGTACAAAGGTCTTAGAAAAAAATCTTTATCACTCACCACTCCTGATGAAAAGCTAGTTGGAGAGAAAGCACCAGTCGCAATGGCGGAGTCAGCAAAGCACTGGTTTGAGACCTCGAGCGCACTTGTGCACAAGGGTATATTAATTTTGTTTGTTGTTGTTTGTGACAGCCACAACGAATCGAGATAGATATAGACAAATGTATACATAAATGCTCAGAATGAATAGAAAAATCGATTAAGCCATGTCTGTCTGTCCGTCCGTCTGTCCGTCTGTCCGTCCGTCCGTGTACACGATAACTCGAGCAAAAATTGAGATATCCCAACGAAATGTGGTATGTAGGTTTCCGTTAATCCAAGGTAGGTTGGTATTGAAAATGGGCGAAATCGGACTGTAACCACGCCCACTTCCCATATAACGGTAATTTCCAGAAATACGAAAACTGCGATATTTTAGTAACTACTAAAGATAATTCACTCAAAATTGATATTTACAAATAATTTTCAGACGAAAAATAAGAATATTATAAATTTTTGGAAAATGGGCGTAGCCACGCCCACTTATCGTTACATGTGTATATCTTGGTAACCGCTGAACCAATCTCTTCCAAACTTGGCACAGTTGTTTGGCCTTGATACAGCATTCTAAATGGCCGAAACTTTTAAAAATCGGACAATAACCACGCCCACATCCCATATAACGGTAATTTTCGGAAATACGAAAACTGCGATATTTTAGTAACTACTGAAGATTATTCACTCAAAATTGATATTTGCAACAATTTTTAGACGAAAAATAAGAATATTAAACTTTTTTGGAGAATGGGCGTAGCCACGCCCACTTATGGTTACATGTGTATAACTTGGTAACCGCTGCACCAATTTCTCCCAAACTTGGCACACCATATCAAATTTTTAAAATCGGACAACAACCACGCCCATATCCCATATAACGGTAATTTAAAGAAATACAAATCAGTAAATATTAAAGCTAATTTATGCAAAATTGATGCTTGCAACAATTCTTTACCAAGAAAGACGTTTATGAAAAAATTTTGGAAAAAGGGCGTGGCGCCGCCCACTTATGATCACCAATTGTACCAAACTCGGTATTTTTAATGTGCTTGCCACATAAAAGCAAAACGTTGAAAATTATTGAAATCGGACTAAAATTACGGCCGCTTTTCATATAACGGTAAATTTCAGAAATGCTTGAAACTGCAATATTTTGAAATTTAAGGACGCAAATTTACACAAAATTGATACACCCCGGCTTGCCATCTAGCGGCAGCTTTCAGAAAGGTGAAAAAACATATATTTAATACTTGCGCCGGGTATTTAATGTTCGGCTCCGCCCGAACTTAGACTTTCTTACTTGTTTTCTTTTGTTATTTTATTTTCATTTAATTTTTAGATTTCATTGTCGTAAAAAGAAAAATTTAATTTTGCAATTTAATTTTTAGAAACTCACTTTATTTAATTTTTTATTTTTTTTTTACGATTTTATTGTTAAAAAATATACTTTTTTAATTGCATAAAATATTTTGAATAGTACTTTATTATTATATATACTAATTTATTATATATTCTATCTTTTAAGAAATATTTTTCATTTTAGTTTATATTTGGTTTAGTTTTAATTGTTTTAAAAAGAGAAATACAATTTTTTCCGACTTCACAAAAAGGAGAAGTTTGTCAATGCGTCGGAATTCTTATTTTATTTTTTTTTGTATGCATGTTACCTCATAACTTTGGACCACGTTAACCGATTTCTATAATTCTTCTTTTAAAGGAAAGGTGTTACCTCACAAGTGGTCCCATGTTAATTTGGTCTAAATCCGATCATTATGTCGTGAAGAAATTAACGATAATCTTAAATTCTTATATGAGAATTGGACTTTCAAAACACAGTAAAGAGCTCTCAAAATAGTTACCAGAACTGCCCTGTTAACTTAGTGTTGATAGAGATCTCCCGGCAGAAAATCCCTCCATCCTCGAGTTTCGATCTATTCGTGAAAAAATTAGTTGCAGTTATCCGCACACCCCGCTCTTTCTGGGCCTGATAGCCCGCTTTCTCTAACAAATTCCAACAGATAATGGGCCGTATGCATAAAAACCAAGCAAATGTGTTTTTTTTTTATTTCAGACCTTTTACTCGATTTGTTCAAATAAAATTAAGTGAAAGATATGAAATTTTAAGGAAAAGCAATTGCTTAGTTTTTATGCATACGGCCCAATGTTTCGGTTGTGACGAAAGCTTTGCTGTAATGTTTGGTATAATTTGAATTTCTCGCTGACCCAGCGATATCAGGAGGATAAAGGGTCAATCTACATTCATTGTAAACTCTTACCGTAAATCACAGCACAAGTCATATATTTAAATATTTATATTTGCATGTATGTACGCAGTGATTTTTTATTAAAGCTAGACTATCTAATCAAAGCTATCGATCCAAAACCTTTTGTGTGCGCCTTTCTTACGTCAATGACAAAAACACAAATATGTTTGTACATACTTCATTTTAATCAGATATTTTAATTTTTATTTATTTATACTTTCTGAACACTTGCACAAATACATTTTAAATTTCGTCAATGGCTTTCAAAATCCAATCACGCAGTGACGCCACATCACTGTACACACCCGGATAACCTTTCTTAGCGCAGGCATATCCCCATGAAACGATACCAACTAGCTTGCCCTCAGCCACCAATGGGCCACCCGAATCGCCCTGACATGAGTCCTTCTTCAACGCATAGGCACACACCATCGACTCTTTGATTACGTCACCATACTTGTAAGTACTCGAAGCACAATCCTCGCTTTGTACAATCGCTAGCTCGACAGCCTGCAAAGCTGTGGGTGGTATCAGGCAGTAGGCAAAACATTTCGTACCCCAACCCGTCACTACGGCCGGTGTGCCGGTGGGCGGTGTCTTCTCTGCCAATTCTATAAAGCGTATGCTCGCCGTTTGTTGTAATGGTGTGGCCAATTTCAGTATGCCTACATCATTCTCAATGGTTGCTGGATTATAGTCGGGATGGTACTTCAGCGCAGCAACCTTAACTAATTCTCCGCCCTTTTTATTATTAGTGGAACCGGCGCGTATGCGCATGCTCGTAGCCTTAAAACTTTGCAGACAGTGAGCAGCAGTAACGACAATATTCTCGTTGAGTAGACTACCACCGCAAAAGTGACCGCCTAATTTGGTGGAGATTGATACTTGATAGGGATGATCCTCGATGGTGGTAGCAACGCCACCTACGATGCGGCCATCCAGTTCAGACGACATGTATGCACCGAGGGTGGTGCTGAAAAATGCACAAAGAAGCGTAGTTAAGCGTAACATTCTGCTACTTTACTAATGCTCGAATGAGCTTTTGAACTGCATTTTTATAGTGGAGAAGGAAGGCCATAAAAGGCTAGACAAAATAATTATTGAATGCATTAAAATGTCTATTTTATCAATAGTTATGTCAGTGTTGCGGGTGCATACCGTAAATTGTAAGTAGAATTAGCAAATGCAAGGTGTAAACTATACATAATCTATAGACCCTTGAATAGAGCATCGTAAATAAAAAAATATTGCCTTTACGCGCACTTAGGCACTTTTGAATCAGTTTTGTAAAAACTCGGAGTGAGCTAACGACTGCAAGGAAGGCAAACAGGTTCACTATTAGGGTCTTCAGCTCGCCCCATTGCATTCAAATAATAATAATAGGGGAGTGATCTAGCTCTTTTTCAGTTGCGTCTTGCTTTTTCCTTGTTATAGCAATAATAAAGGGTTTCCTTGCACATCAGTTAGCCATGAAATGCACCCTCGAGTCGGTGTCAATGAGAAAAGAAAGTTCGGGAGTACCTTTAACTACAGCGAACTACTCTTAGGCAGAAAGGCCTTATTGCAGTTTAGCAAAGGCTGAACTAAAACTAGAACATATGAAACTGTAAAGGTCCTTCTGGTCGAGAGTAAATTGGATACCGTGGACGGTTGTAGTTGGTCTTAACTCTGAATTCCAGTGGGTCTTATTGGTCGCAGTTGTTTTGAGGTCGACGTCTCAATAGTTCCTCTTAAGTTCGCCAGCTTTTTCGAGTCTAACCAGAACTGTATACCTCTCCGAGATTGGCATCTGCCGCCTCCAAAATTTTTAGCTCTAGCCGCAGCGCGTAAACGTCCAAAAATTCTATCACAAATTTAGAAGATTTACGGAAAATTTCAGTACCAAATTACCAAAACAAGCACGGTGACTTTTTGGCCAATGCTTGTGTACCTGAATTAACGAATCTCATAAACAGATTTCCAACTCCGAATCGCTTTTGAGACAAAATGAAATAGCTCCATATTTGATGCGAATGATTACCGACCATGGAAAAGAGACCACATACGATAAGTGCGAAAAAAAGATCAGGATCCAAGAATGATGAATTTGCACAAAAGGTGGCAAAATCAATATATACTTCATGGAATGATATGTACCGTTTTCAGCAGATAAACTATGCTTAATTGACTCGAAAAGTTACCTAATTCAGTTTTTACGAAGACACCATAAATTTCTGTTATGTCAAATCTTTCTAGTCTAGAATTAAAATATATAGAACTACGACTTTGATCGAGAGACCGCTCTTAAACGGTTGTTGTCGTTTTCTAATTGTTGCATAATTTCTTAAATAACGGGCTCATGGATTGAAACATAGTTTATTTATTTGTTTCTATTTCTTTTTTTTTTATTTTTTTTTTTACTCAAAACATTCAATTTATTTTCAATTAGCCTGTTCCAGGATCCATGAACGCAGCGAAGGCACGTCCGAGTATACACCAGGGTATCCCGATCTAGCGCAACCTCTGCCCCAAGAGACAACACCAACCAATTCGTTGTTAGCGACCAATGGGCCACCAGAGTCACCTTGGCAAGCATCCTTATTCAGTGCGTAAGCACAAACCATTGTCTCCTTAATTTCCGAACCGTACTTGTATTCGCTAGAGGCGCAGACATTTTCATCCACAATATCTACTTCAACTTCCTGCAAGACAGTTGGAAGAGTCAAGCAAGTAAGATAACATTTAGTACCCCAGCCGGTGACTACAGCTGGAGTGCCGGTAGCTGGTGTTTTTTCAGCCAATTTGACGTAGCGTATATTCGCCGACTCAGCAACTGGTGTGGCCAATTTCAGAACACCAACATCGTTAACCATAGTCTTGGAATTGTAGCCAGGATGGTAGGTGAAGGAGGAGATAGCAACCAATTCACCGCCGGACTTGTAGTTGGTGGAACCAAGGCGTACGCGAATTTGGCTTGCTGTGTAGGACTGCAGGCAGTGAGCAGCGGTCACGATGGTGTTTTCGTTGATGATGCTGCCACCGCAGAAGTGCGAAGCAGATGTAGTTTGCAAGGACACCTGATAAGGATGTGCTGTAATGGTGGTGTCAACACCATTCACAATACGACCGTCCAAATCATCTGGCAAGAGACCACCACAGGCCACACTAACCAATGCGAATAATGCTACAAAGCGAAACATTTTCAAAACTTGAATGTTGGTTGTATAAAATTTCGCAAAGGTTTTTATAGCCCGAATAAAGGAGGTACTAGTAGTTATCATTGCAAAATAAAAATCACTTCACACTTTTGTATGTATGTCCAACGCTATCTTTGAGTAAAAAATTAATGAATTTAGAAATTTAATCTCTGCAGAGTGATATGACAAACGCCGACAACGAATGGATTTTTACGTTAGTAGTTTTGAACCAGTTACAGCCAGTTTCAACCGGTTTTTGTGTCTAATTTAAAAAGTACTGAACGATGTACACATGTAGAGAAATATTTATTTAAGTCTTTCTATTATCGACTGGGTTTTTCCAGCTCGGCCAAATTCTTTGAATATATCTCTTTATACAAGAAAAAATCACAAAACAAATTTCCTTTACGGTGGCGGTATATGAGTGCAGACTTATTTAAGTACTGATAACTTACTGGAAACCCTTATCGGCTATCTTTTATCGGGCGTACATTCAATTCTAGTAAATGCGTGGGCATTTGACATTATGATACTCAAAAATTTGTAAAGTGAAACCTCAATATAACCAAGTTTAAGGAGTTGGACAAATGCTACGTTTTATGCAAAGCTTCGTTATACATATATGTATGTATATAGAATATCGGGGGCATATGTATATAAATTTAAAAAAAAAAAACGTTATATAAGTATAGATTCGTTTTTTTTTTTTTATAACGAGACTCTAACCGGCTACAATTTCAAAATTCGCTTTGTACTATAAAGGCTTTTGAGTCGACACTCCATTATATAGGGGCCTTTGCTAACGGAACTTTAACGGTCAATCTATTCCGGCGGTTTTAATGCTCAAAATGCCTATGGAGCATTTTTCTATGGAATATTTCGTAAGACTATGTTCAAACAGGCCAATTAGCTGAGGCAATTAATCTTTAAATTGCGGAATTGAGTTTGGTGTTCACACATATATCAGCTGCGCAATTAGCGATACGAAATCAGCTGCTGGATTACCTACAGTGATGGAAAATTAGGTACAATCGTACCTTTATTTAGTTTGCAAGTGCATTCGGTACAAACACAATTTTAGGTACATTTGGAACGTAGCCAAATAACTTCTCAGGAAATCAGTTCTTATTCTAATTGACATTTCAATGCATTTTCTGTTGCGGGCAACTGATCCAATACCTCCCCTCCTTTGTGAAGGGGCATACAAATGATACCAAAAGGTGGTCAAAGTAACGCAATTGTAGTTTATTTCGCCAGATAGATGGAAAATAATTATTTTTAAACGTAAGATCGGAGAACTGGGAGGAAATTGATTCACCTTTTCTAAGGTTTTTCTAAGTGATTCACCTTTTCGTACAACATAGGTTTGTCTCGTGCTGCTCGAATGATGTGGTATCGATGGGAATTGTTATCCTCCTATCTTCTTTATATAGAAATACATATTTACTTTTTACTTACATATCTACTTTTAGATAAAGCTTTCCGTAAATTAAGTACAATTTTATAGTTAAAATTTCCATCCCTGATGGAATATCAGCTGTTAAAGAGGGACAGAAACAAACAGCTGATTGCTCTTTGTTCAATAAACATACCTCCAAGTCAAAATTGAACATACCTAGCAGGGTTGCATAGAGAATCTGACACAAATTAATTGCCAATTAATAATTGAAATTTTGTATGATAAATTGGGTAACAATTAAGGCTTAATTTGGTGAAAACGTTCTTAATTGCCAATTAAGTGCCTGTTTGAACATAGTCTAACAGCGGCGGTTTTCAGGGGACTCAATAAAAATTTTGCCATATTGAGTTTTTCGTTTTATCAAGGTTGGTTTTATCAAGATTTGACTGTAGTATAATTAGCAATATTTTTTATGTAAAGTTTAGTCTTTTAAATAAAGATAAAAATAAAGTTATATAAATAGGGGTAAAACCACCGCTGCTTACCATGTAACGGTTCAGAAAGCGTAAAAACTATATATATTTAACTCGTGCGCCGGGTATTTAATGTTTGGCTTCGCCCGAACTTTGACTTTTTAATTGGTTTACTTCGTTTTTTTTTATTTTATTTTATTTTATTTAGTTCTATTTTATTTTCCATTTTTTACGCAGTTTTATATAGTTTTATTTAATTTTATTTATTTAAATTTTCTACCTTTATTATATTTTATTTTAGGTTTTCTTTTGTGTTATACTATTTTCCATTATATAATTTAATTTCTAATCTAATTTTTATTTAAATCTTTTAATTTAAGCTTTTATATTTGCACTTTAGTTTTTATTGATTTAAATTTTTTTATTTCTCTTCCTTGGGGTTTTCACTTTATTTTATTTTATTTCTTTATACTTCAGTTTTATTTGTATTTTTATTTTAATTTTATTTTTATTATTTTTTCATTTATTTACTTTTTTATTTTATATTTTTTATAATTTATTTTGTTGGTTTTTTTTTATTTTATTTCATAGAATTTTTTATTTTTTTATTTAACTCTTATTTTCATTTTTTATTTTATTTGATTCTATTATATTTTTTCACTTTTTTTTTTAATTTAATTTATTAAGGTTAAAAATGTATATTATTTTTGTCTTTTATTTGCTTTTTAATTTTATATTTGGTTCGTAGACTATCTTGTATTTTCCCGTTCGATAAAATTATTCTCCAGCCAGGGTTCGCAGGAAGATAGCAGAATGCCTGCATCTGGAGCAGTACCCTGTAGTCAAATGAACTAGTTGTAAACTACCTCACAACTAGTATAAACCGCATGCCCAACTAGTCAGCCAACTATCTTTTTTCCATGCAATCAACTGGTATTTTTAACATGGGGATGTCCTACGAGATGGCAATTGTCAGATTCCGGTCAGAAATATACCAGTATCATACTAGTTGAAAATAGACAGAAAAATACTAGTCTAGTTATGGACCAAAACCACTACTTTGGGAGTCAAAAAATAAAATGAATTCATGAATATACTTGTACAATAAAAAACTTTTAAGTACACTTTAATATATAACATATTTTTATTTAGCAGCCTTAGATTTGTCAATAATTAGTGTTAAATTTTTTGAGTATTAATTAAAAGAAAAAATAAATACATAGGTATTTCAAACTTTCGAATATAAATTTAAATTCATTTTTCATTAAATGTTATATATTTTTATCTTTTTTAATAATATGGAATATGCAAAGAAAACATTTTAGTTAAAAATAAAATTAATTCTTTAGATAATTTTTGAGTGAACTAAAATAAAAATAAAAGTTTTCATTGAAATAAATTAAATTTATTTACTTTGCACATTTCAGTCTATTATTTTTAAAAATTTATAAAAGTAATAATTAATGTTTAAAATTTGAGATTTGGATAAGAATAAAACAAATAACTAATTCAAGCAGTTATTAAATATTCTTAATATTTGTCTATAGTTTGCCTTGTTGATTGATAATAGAAATTTATCAAATAATTATATTAATAGTGTAATTAAAAAGTCAAAAATAATTGAAAATGATCAATAATAACAAATTAATGGTGTAATTAAAGCTAATGAATTAATTCACATTTTTTTAAGTAATTAATTATTAATCATTGTCGGCCGCTGTGGTGTAGTGGTAAGCAGTGCGCGCTTTCACACATCAGCACCTGGGTTCAAGCCCTGGTCAAAGCAACATCGCAAAATAAAAATTTAGAAAAAAGGTTTTTTCTTAACAGCGGTCGTCCCTCGGCAGGCAATGGCAAACCTACGGTCGTATTTCTGCCATGAAAACCAGCTTCTCATAAAAATACAATCGCCGTTCGGGGTCGGCGTAAAACTGTAGGTCCCTCCACTTTGTGTGACAACATCAAGGCGCACGCCACAAGTCGGAGGAGAAGCTCGGCCAAACACTAACATATGTGTAAGAGCCAATATAAAAAACTATTAATCATTAAAAAGGTGGTAATATCGGTATTTGATAATTAAACGGTTATCCAAAAAAACATGCCTTAATTAATAATCATTACGAGTATTAATCATTATTTAACCGGACTGGTATAACTGAATAAATCGTTTTGTACTTGGTACAAGTCTGGTCATTTTCGAACTCGGTTTCTGTCAGGGAATTCTAGTTGTAAACTATTATTTTTCCTGACTAGTTTGGGATTTCACTGCAGGGTACTGATGGCCTTTACTTGCCAGTTCATCCGCAACACAGTTACCTGGTATATCTGTATGACCTGGCCTGACCCATACGACATGAGTTCAATAGTGGTTTAAGGCTTTGGAAATAGAGAAGTCAGGAAAATAGTTTCGTTGGATAAACAAAATGTCCTTGACCCTCAAAGGGAGAGAGTTTTAATTTTGTTTCCTATTTTGACCACACATTTTTGCTGCTCTTGCGTCAAGGAATCCATTTCGCAGGAACCGAAAAAGGCATTTTAAATTTTTTTTATGAATTCTTTACATGCTGTTCTTAGGTAAAAAGGGCAAAAAATAAAAACTTCACATTTTGAAGGGCATTTTGAAGGTCAAGGTAATTTGTTATTCAATGTGACCTTCAAATTGATCTCCAAAGTTAAAATTTTTGATTCTTTATATATTTTTGGGGATCGTAGGCCATGTAGGTCGAGACCATGTAGCTCGAGATCGGCCAGTGATTAGCGGATTGGCTCTCCACCGTGATTCTTACCGTATCCTTCCACTGAACTATGTGAGTTAAGCTGGGATCACACGATTTGTACATTTGGCAAAAAATTTGTCAAATTCATAGACAAATCATGTGAACGCTAAATTACATTTGTCATTTATCAGAG